ATATATATAATCTGGTTATATGCCATCTCTTCGTGAGATAGAAAGCTTTTGAAAACTCCTTGAATATGAGGAGTGAATATAATAAAAATGTTAAGCCTGAGGTACTCACTGTTCCAGATGAGCTCATGGCTGAGCAGGCTGACATACGCTTGTCAGCCAATGAGGGGAGTGGATTCTCTTTCCACAGTGCTGGAGGAAGATTCTGACAAATTCTGGATAAATGATTCTTCTTTGATATTCTTTATTGGCACAAAAGTGCACCATCATCACACCTGTATTGGACAATAGGTGTTATGGTTAGGAGTCTTGGCTCTAGTCAATATTTATTAGCCAAATGACTGAATAAATGAATCAAGGACCATCGACTAGAACAAGCTCTTTAAAAATTTGACAGAATAAAATATACTTGAAGCTATTTTATTAATTTTTAGTGAGAAATTTGAAAGCATTGTCTTTGCAGGTGAGATGTGTAAATGTTGCACACAACCACAGGCTTCTTCCTATGAGTTAAGAAACACTCCAGTTATCAAAATTTGTCACTGTTCTGGACTAAATGCTTGTGTACCCCACCTCCCCTAATTCATACGCTGAGACCCTAGACCTCAATTGGAGATGAGACCATGGGGATTCGATTAGGTCATGAGAGTGAGGCCCTCATGATGAGATTAGTGGCCTTATAAGAAGAGGAAGAGCAATCTCTTTCTCTCTTTGTATGCACGCCTCAGGAAAGGCCATGTAAAGATATATTGAGAAGGTGTCTGTCTGCAAGCCAGAAGGATGACGCTTGGTCCTGGACTTCCAGCCTCCAGAGTTGTGAGAACTAAAGGCCTGTTGTTTAAGCTACCCAGGCTGTCATATTTTGTTATGGCTGTCCAAGCTAAGAGGGTAACATATCTTTCAGAGGAGTAAGGTGAGACATAGCATATCTGTTTTTATTACTTTCCATTGAAGTAATTCTGCTGTCTTTCCCATCCAACTCTAGCAACATACCATGGAGGACTCTGTGGGTCCTATGCTCTGTCTACAGGAGCTGCAGGGGAGGACTAGATGGATGGTCCCAGTCCTCCAGATAAAGAAGGATGGATGCGAGGTCACCTGCTCTAGATGGGAAGCTGAAGTGCAGTAAGGGGTTTCAGGAAGTAGAGAAGGCTCAGAACTGCGTCTATGAGCAATACCCCCAAGGAATTAACTAAGGATGAAGAGAGGAAAGTTGAGCAGCCTTGAGCTCACCACCGAGGTTATATATTATGGTTTTAGAGTTGAGGCAGTGTGTAGACTGCAACTTTATGCAGGAGCACCTAGCTGCCCAGAAGAGGGACAAAAGAATTGACTTTATCTGGCCCTGGGGATTAGCAAGGTAGTTAAGAGCACGGAATTTCAGGAGGCTTGTTGGCATTAACCAACTAACCCTGAAAGAGAGAATGCTTCAGAGCAGTAGTGCAGGGACTGTTTCGAAGCAGGAACGCCACTCACGTATGGGCTCGAAATGGTCTCAGCGAGTATGGGAGCATTCTGTTCTCTCCCCCATTGCTTAGGTCTAGTCTACATGAGGCTCAAGATCTTGTCCCCGGCTAACTCGTCTCCCTAGATTCTCTACCCTTTGTTTAATTCCACTACTGCCTGCCCTCTTCAAACTTGAGGCTCTCCTTGTAAATAGTACCATACCTGACTTTGTGTCCAAGTGGTGGACAATTAAGTCGATACTCTGCTGCCACCTAGTGGTCCTTGATCACTTCACATGTCCCTGGTATCTAGGCTAGGAAGGAGGCAAATGAAACCAAGACAGAGCTGAATACTTAGATATGAGCATTCGCTGGGCCTGGAGTTCATGGGGGTTAAAAAAATAAAGAAAGAAATGATGATGGAGGAGTACAAGTGAGGACAGCACCAGAGGAGTGGCTGTGGTTGTGTGCAGCTTCAAAGGTCTTGAAGACATGAAAGTTGAAGATCAAAGAATTCAGGGCCTGGTTGTTGTAATGGCCATCCACATTCCCCCTCAGAGAGGAGCGTCTCTGCATGACGGCGCATGTTTCAATCATATTTTTATCTCCCATGCTTTCTGACACATTGTTTATAAAATTTTGGTCGAATTTGATGTTGAAAAATCACTAACGGTGACTGCGACTGTAGGAAATGGAGTGGAGATGACAGCTGTGAACTGGCTGACCTATAGTTTTACATGAGATATAGTTTCAAATACTAAGCTTTTAGAAAAAGCTATTTTCAACTTTTAACTGCCCCAACACCTCTCCACTGGGCAAATCTCCCCATATCTGGTACTTGACAGTTTCATGTACATCCTCTGAGGGCAGGAAGACCGTTCAGCTGGTGCTATGTGCTTGTTGCCTGCATTGAGCGTATCACACTCAGCAATGCCCTTCTTTCCTTCCTTGCCATTTATATTCTCCACTGTGAACTTTCAGTAAGCAAGATTTTCATCTAGGAGTTCTGAATCTGGGGTTCATGGATCTCAGGCTTTGGGGATTCCTTGAAATCAAATGCAAAATTTGATGTTTGTGAATACCTGTTTATTTTCTCTCATTAAAGAAAATTAGATTCTTAAAGGAATGTGTGGCTCATGAAACAAAACAAGCCCTTGCTTTTAGGCAGCTTGACTTCCTTTGATCCCACGCAAGTTTCTGTACCCTCCAAACTCCATCACCTCTTCCCCCATGGGTACAAGTTTTTGTAAGTTAATTTCTCTACTTTCCCATGCCTCCCCCAGAACATTTAGGATTCCTGCATATCTGTTTCCTGGGTAACTTGGTTCTTGATTACAGTGTTCTGAGTCAGCGAGGTCTTTGGCCAACAAAGAGGGGTTCTCTTCTCCTCTCCCCAAAGGTAGAGGATTTCTAGAGATTATTTTTTCATTCCTTACTCAGTGGATTCTACTTTTCTGCCAACTGAGAGCTCACCCCAAATCATCTGCTTAACTCATTTCTGCTGACCTTCTGATTTACTCTCATGTGGCTCATTAGCACTAGAGCCAAAGTCTGCAGTGGTCCCCACCCCTGCCTCCCAGCTGCTTGAAGGACTGATTGCTGCTTTGAGTACTTCGATGGCTACTCTGGTTGCCTCTTGAGACTGTTAAGTCATCTTTGCAGGCCAATCTATCAATCAGGTGACTTCTTTTGTCAGCTATGATAATGGATATTGTTTATTTTTTCTAACTTCTTATTATAGTAAATTTTGAGCATATAAAAATGATAAGAAATACTGTATTGAGTGTAATGTATGGATCACTCAGCTTTTGTTATCTTTTTTATGGCCAATATTACTTCATCTACACCCCTTTACTTTCCACTCCTTTTCCTGATTATTTGAAGCAAATCCCAAACACTGTATTCTTTCATCTGTAAATATATCGGTATATATCTCTAAAGAAAAAGAATTCTTAATACTATACCACACCTAAAAATTAGGAAAAAAAAATCCAGTCATTCAGTGTTAAATAATAGTGGTTGAGGGTAGTTCTTCTGGTACAGAAAAATTTCAGTTTCAGCCTTGAGCTAAAAAAAGAAAAAAATTATAATTAAACTTTACCATTACTAAATCATCAAGCCACTGTTTAGTAGGGCAACTCAGGATATTCAGCAACTACTGCTGAAAGAAATTCATAGAACTGAAGACGCTTAAATCCACAAAAGTGAATATGCTTGTTATTTGTTATTGATTCAACAACATAACGACAGATTCAAATACGGCCATGTGCAATATAACGTTTGGTCTACTACGAACCGCACATGTGATGGTGGTCCCATAGGGTTATAGTGGAGCTGGAAAAAACCTAGTGTACTGCCAGTTGTGTAAAAGTATAGCACACACGATTGTGTACAGTACATAATACTTGATCGTGATCATAAATGACTATGTTACTGGCTTGCATATTTACTATACTACATTTTAAATCATTACTTTAGAGTGGACGTTTTCTACTTACATAGAAAAGTTTGCTGTAAAACAGTACACCATGCTTACCATGTCTCTTGGTTGCATCATTTTCTCTTGTACTTGATTTAATCTTGTGTTGTTTTATAAATTTAGTGTAGCCTAAGTGTACAGCGTGTATAAAGTCTACAGCACAGTAATATCCTAGGCCTTCACATCCACTCACCACTCACTGACTCACCCAGAGTAACTTCCAGTCCTGCAAGGTCCATTCATGGTAAGTGCCCTATACAGATGTACCATTTTTTTATCTTTTATGTCATATTTTTCCATACCTATTTATGTTTAGATATGTTTATATACACAAATACTTAACACCATTGCCTACAGTATTCAGTATAGTAACATGCTATATAGGCTTATAGCCTAGGAGCAATAATCTATACCATATGGCCTAGGTGTGTAATAGGCTATACCATCTAGGTGTGTGTAAGTGCACTCTGTGATGTACACACAATGACGAAATTGCCTAATGACACATTTCTCAGAACATATCTCCATCATTAAGTGACACGTGACTGTATTTTCTGCAGAGTATCTGCTGATGAATCATATGATGAATGACAGGCTCTAACCTCTTACTTTTCACACAAACTTTGCAAATTTGTCCAGCTAGGCCTTTTCTGCTCCACACAAATTTTTACCTCCAAGAGTTTAAATACATCTTAGCAGATTCCACTTCAGATTGTACTGAATTAGAAAATTTCTCAAATTGTCTGAAAATATTCTCACAGTTGTTCTACAGAGACTTCATAAAATCCAATTCTCTGGTCACTTTAAACTTGGCATTGACACCTCAAGTAAACAACAACTGAACAGTGTCAGTAGCATCTGTCAACTTGTTAAGGTACAAGAAAAAAAAATACTCAGAACCATTAGCCTTGTTTTTGTTTTTGTTTTAACTAACTGTCGATGTTGCTACCAAGGTTCCCAACTCTTCTACCAACTGTTTTTACCGATAGGGTAAACACATTTCTTCAGGTTCTGTAGTCAAACACAATTTAATTAACTTAGAACTGCTAAATGGCTTTTCTTGCTTGCTAACAAATGAGCCACTTGGAAACTTACTTTGGTTGTAGCTTCATTTACATTTTAATTCTTGTGAAGAAATATTCCGCTTTAATAAGAAATTCCATTTTAAGTTTCCTAATTTTTTTTTAACTGTTGCTTTCCTGTGAGTTTGAAATATTGTGATGAGTGCTTAATCTGGCAATGTTAACATATATTGTATTATTTTGGCACAGTTATAGTGTCATTGCATAACATATAATTTAACAACAAAATAAACCACGCTCTACAGCGACTTAAAAAGTACAACATTTGAAGTCCACTTTTCTTGCTTTGACACAAAGGATATGCATTGGTAATATAAAATAAACTAACAGAGGTAAAATAAAATAGAACAAAATGTCACAAAATGTCATGGTAGAAAACTGTGCTTGGCATTTGAAATGCTATTTTGAATGGTTTATGACTTACTGAGCAGCAGTATAAAGTGATGAGAGTTCTGCATACGGTCTCTGTTGCAACTTTTCAAAACTGCTATTGAAACTCGAATATAGCCATAGCTAATACATAAATAAAAGAGTGTGGCTGTGTTAAATAAAACTATTTGTAGATAGACATAACCTTTAATTTCAAATATTATTCACATGTTACAAGATATTATTCTTCTTTTGATTTTTTTCAATTGTTTAAAAATGCAGAAACATTCTTAACTTTTGGACCATCAAAAAAAGGCAGTGGACCAGATTTGGCCCACAGGCCACAGTTTGCCAACTCCTGTCTAGATCGTTATACTTCTGAAAATTCCACAGATGTGTAAGGTCCCTGAATCTTTGTAGAGTTTATTTCCTATCACCTGAGGTGTACATCTCGGTGTACATCTTGTAGCTAAGCATCAAAGCTCTAGCCACTTTCTGTTATCAGGTCCAACTGGCATGGCGTCATCAGTATTGTGACCAGTGACCAGAATGTTCAGACAATCAAGGTCCATCGTCATCATCCATGATCTACCTAATTTTTTTTTTTAGGCAAGGCAACCGTTGGTTGACCTCACAGATTGCAAGGACTTGTCAGCTTACGATCCCTTATTTTTTATTTTTTATGCCTACAGTACCTGTCTTCCTAGGTGGTCTCCCATCCAAGTACTAACCAGGCCCGACCCTGCTTAGCTTCCGAGATCAGATGGGATTGGGCTTGTTCAGGGTAGCATGGCCGTAGACATGATCTATCTAATTTAAGTAAGGATCAAACAGGTGAATTGAATGGATTATCATGTCAAGCATCACTCCTGCCTCCTTTCAGTGGCTGAGAGTGACACAAATCACCACAGAGGATCAGATCTTCAACTTACGTTCTTTGCTCAGGGATGGGGTTCAGGGTGAACTTTCAGGTGTTTACAATCACTTAGCCTTTATAAACATAATTAATTACTCCTCAGAGAACTAATGTGAGGGTTCTTCCAGTTTCTAAGTATTTCCCAGCCCTCTCACTTGGGCTAGGACTCCACCTATCACTTGGCCTCTAAAAATCCCTACTCTAATAAAGAGGCTGACGCTTTTTTGGGTCACTTGGTATCCATGTCAGCTTATCCACAACCCTCAAAATACTTGGAAATTCACTTCCCTCAGTGTATAGTTAATCTGGTAAATGTCTGTAGGACCCTTTGAGGAAGAATTGTGTTAATAGCTACTATAACTATTTGCTATGGTGTTTCAGGGGTGCTTTGGCGTTTCCTCAAGGGGACATGGCCCTTCAATCAATGGATTCTGAACCCCAAAACCACCTCAATTCTTGAAACTAGACAAGAGACCATGATTTTCCTTTGTGGTACTTACACATTCAAGATCTTTTTGGGGCATATAAATCAATCAATACCCTCATCGCCTGCCCATATATCTTGCTCCTAGGATCCCATGTTTTATCAGTCTTTGCTACATGTTTCTGAGGGTCAAGGTCCCCTAGTTGTCACTCTCACCTTGTTATCCATTTGGAAGAATCATCATTTGTGGCAATTAATGGAGCCTATTAATACCATCAATCCTACCTTCATGACAGTTATATGCTGTCAATTTGTTTCTGCTATTCCAGAATCCTTTCATAGCCACTGACACCAGGGAGCCCAGTTTCCATCAGTATTTCCTATTGTCAGCCCTGGCCTACAGATGACAGACAACACTAAGTTTGACAGGATGCTGGTGTCTCCCTCGGGAAGCATCCTTTCTTGCTTTAGTGAAGAGAGTGTCCTCTGGGTCTCCTGAGAAACACAGTCATCTGGTAATTCTCTGGCATTGCATAGTCAGTTCTGATATGCCTACCTTTCTAAGCCTTTCGCCGATTCCTCTGCCAAGGAATTTGCAACATCTCCACTTCATTTGCTGTAGGCATCATTTTTCCCAAGCTTTAAGGAGATATTCCAGCAGTTTATTAGGACTGGCTTCAGGTGTCCTTGCCAGGACAAGCTGGGGGAAGAGAAAGCAACGAGAAAGGAGAGTGAAAGAATAGACCATACATCTTCTTCCCGCTGGTAAATCCTCAAACCAAAAATCAGTTCTGAGTCGAGGGAAAGGAAACACTGAATTGGATGACAATTTGAAGTTTTTATTAAGACTAAAAGCTAGTTTTACATTTTGATACCTGAAAAATCAGACTGTTTTAATACACAAGAATGAAGAGAGTCATTGGATCTGTCCACGATATCTTTAAGGGACAGGAGAGCCAACAGTTTTTGAAGGTAAAGGTAGAATAAAATGGAGCCGTTCCCTCATTGTGCATTACCAATTACAGATGCTTCAAAAAAACCAGTTGCACAATTGCTGAAGGGCGAAATGGTGTTGCCACCTTCTATTTCTTTCTTTTATTTTGCATTTAGAAAATGGGTTACAATGAGCCATTATGCAATGTGAAATCACTAGGTAATTTGTTTTTATAAACCCAGGGGGATTAAATATGTTAAACCTACATACCATAATATGTGAACTGGCCGTGGAGACTGAGAAATAGTAACATAAGTGCCATACGAAAGTCTTAGCCATGTGCCTGGAGCTCAATAAAGAAAAAAACTCATTCATGGTATGGGGGTTGGTGAGAGAAGGTTTCATGAAGGAGACAATATTTCAAGGAATTTGAAATGCTGAGTACAATTCTGAAAGATAAAGAAGTCTTTCCAAGTAGAGGGAACAACAGGAAAAGGCATGACAGTGATACCAGAGATATTTAATTCAGATGAAACAAAGAAGCCACATAGAAATGTAATGGAAAATAGTCTGAAAAAGATATTTGTCCTGGACACAAGGGAGCAGGATTTATATTTCCTATGGAGGCAATGAGTGGTTGACTAAAATTCAAATACTCTCCTTAGTATTTTTCAAGTAATTTCTTGAATATGATCAAGTTCTTGGTTAGAAACTAAACCTCAAAATAGAGAACCAGCCGGCAGGGACTTGCTGAACCAGGGCAGCAACTAGAAGTAGTTATAACAAACTACTGGAATGGGAGTGACGTGGCGACAAGGAGAGCTCTAAAGTTCTCAGGCTACCAGCCAGCAAGAGATGAGCGAGAAGGAGGCAGGTGCCTGTTAATCAGGCACCACTCTTGGATTTGGCATTCTCTTTGGAGTCCGCCCACTGTCCTTCCCTGGTCTGATCTTGGTCTGAGTACAGGGTCCACCACGGTGTGGGATCCTGGGAGCAAAGGGGCCTTGTCTGTGAAATTAATCATTAACCTTCAAGTTGAATACTTGGAGTTTACAGTTAACATCAGACACTGTGTTTACATTTACAAGCATATGCTTTTCCCTCACTCGATCTTCAAAAAGAAGAAAGTTATTAGAATATTGCTAAGTTATTAGAAACACATCAACAACTATCTCAGAGTTGGTGCGGGGACGTAATATAACAACACATTTGAAGCGGTTATTACTTCCTGGCACAGGGTAGACACTCAATATTAAGTTCCCTGTCTGCTGTTTTTCTATAGAAGGGAGTGGCACAGAATAAGTAATTTATCTCTTACAAACTCTCCCTTTCAACGCTGCCTTCCACCCTAGCATGCCCAGATAATTGAAGATATTAAGTCCCTGACATTAAGTTCCTGCAAACATTGAGCATGAAATGGTTTCAGCCTTGTACCTTCCCATCCCATCCTTCTGGACCCCTCTGGTTTGATGCTGTCCCTCTATGATGCAGTACCTGGACCAGTACTCAGCTCCCCAGATATGGGCTGAGTAGTGAAGGAGAAGCAAAAGGGTTCCTTCACTTTGGCTTAGATACTACAACTCTGTTTTTCCAGGCTAAGGTTTCTTTAGAGTTTTGTTTTGCTTTTGTTTTGTTTTGTTAAGCAGCCACAACTTGCTGTTGACTCATATTTAGCTTCCAGCCAACGGAAACCCCTGCGTCTTTTTTTGTCTATGTGATGTTGTTAAGCCATCTCTTCCCCACCCAGATTCTGGAAAGTTTTTTTTTTTTGCTTTTCTAGACCTGAGTAAAGGACTTCTCATGTCTGTAAAATTCCATCTTGTTAGATTAATTTTCTCCATTCTAGCCTTTAGCACGTTAACTAACCTGTCTCATCTTCATCCTATAAAAACGAGTTACATATCTTTATCAAATGGAATTAATTTTCTAATGATATCTTTTATCAAAAACATCACTAAAAAGTTTAAATAGGACAAGAGGCAGTATGAAGCCATATGACCTGCCTCAAAAGGCCTCCTAACAGGTCGAAAGGAAATTCAGTAAGTACCATTCTTTGGGTATGGTCATTCAACTGGATATGAATTCACCTAATTGATCTAGAAACCAGGTCACATTATTACACATTTTCTAAAATAAATCATGAGAGATCTTGCCGAATGCCTTGTCCACATGCACAATTTATATTGAATTCATTCCCTCTTCCAGTCTAGAAACTCTGTCTAAAATGAAAATAATTCCACTGTGGAATGACTGTGTGTGAATACTGTATTTATCACTATCTGGGGTGCATTTCTCCTCTCCATCCCTCTTCCTTACAAAAATGTTTCTAAAATGTACCCCTTTTTTTTTTTCATAGAGGCAGCACAGCACTGTGATTAAGAATATGAATAGTATCGACCCTGGGCTTGAGTCCTGGCTCACTTAATTATTGGCTGTGTGAACTCGGGCCATTTGTCTCACCAAACTGTGCCTCAGGTTTTCTATCAGTAAAATGGGGATAATAATAGAACCCACATCAGAGGGTGGGTATGAAAATTGAACAACTTAATATTTATAAAGCATTTAGAACGATTTCTGGCAAATTAGTAAACAGTATAAAAATTCTTGTTAAATAAATAAGTGAAAAAAGAAAATCTGGTGCTTTGGTATACATGTTAGACCAAAGCCCACAATATCAAATCACAGATACCCCTCAGCAGCAGAATACAGCAATACAAAACATCACAGCAAACACATAAGCTGCAGTTTCTTTTTCTTTCTTTCTTTTTTTTTTTTTTTTAACAAAAACAACCTGCAAGCTATGTAACTGATGAGAGGCAAAGTCTCTGTTAACTTCCCAACATTTTAGACTCAAATTTTTTTTAGGAGACTATATTGCACTTCCAGAACTTATGCTTTATTATAGTCCAGTATCCATATATGTATTTTTACATTAATGAACATATGGTTTCCTCTTCTAAATTGTTTTTGCTTTAATTAGTACCAATAATTAAATAAATAATTTAATGCTTTTTATTACTTTTCCTTTTATCAGAAAAATCCATATAAAGTTGAGATACCTCTTAAGTTCCTGTGCATTTTATACTCTATTTTTTTAGATTGAGGTGAAATTCGTATAACATAAAATTGACCATTTCAAAGTGAACAATGCAGTGGCATTTAGTATACTCACAATGTCATACATACATCATCTCCATCTTCCACAACATTTTGGTTATCTTAGAAGAAAACCCCATTCCCATTGAGCAGTTACTCCACATTCTCTCTTCTTCCAGCCCCTGGCAACCACCAATCTGCTTTCTGACTCTATGGATTTACCTATTTTGGATATTTCATATAAATGAAATCATATATGTGACCTTTTGTGTCTAGCTTCTTTCAGCAAAATGTTTTTGAGGTACATTCACGTTATATTATGTATCAGCACTTCATTCTTTTTTATGACTGAATAATATTCCATTATATGGATATACCACAATTTGTTTAACTGGTCATACACCGATGGACAGTTGGATTGTTTTCGCCTTTCCACTATTGTAAACAGTGCTGCTATGAACATATATGCACAGGTATGTTCTTGAGCATCTGTTTTCAGTTCTTTGGGGTCTATATCCTATGAGTGGAATTGCTGGTTCATGTGGTAATTCTATGTTTCATTTTTTGAGGAACCACCAAACTGTTTTCCACAGTGGTTGCACCATTTGACATTCCCACAAGTATTGTAAGAGCATTCCGTTTCCCCACATCTTCACCAACACTTATTATTTTACATTTAAATTACAGCCGTCCTAGTAGGGGTGAAGTGGTATTTCGTTGTGGTTTTGATTTGCATTTCCTGACTAGTGATGTTGAACATCTTCTCATGTGCCGGTTGTCTTCCTTTTGTATATCTTCTTTGGAGAAATGTCTATTCGAGTCCTTTGCCTATTTTTAAATTGGGTAGTCTTTTTGTTGTTGAGTTATGAAAGTTCTTTATATATTCTGCATACTAGAACCTTGTTATTTGTGTGATTTGCAAATAACTTCTCCCATTCCGTGGGCTGTCTTTCCATTTTCTTGATAATATCCTTTGATACACAAAAGTTTTAAGATTTGATGAGGTCCAATTTATCTATTTTTTTCTTTTATTGCTTATGCTTTTGTTATCATTTCTGAAAATCCGTAGCCAACATAAGGTCATGAAGGCTTATGTTTTCTTCTCAAAATTTTATGAATTTAACTCATATTTAGGTTACTGATCCATTTTGAGTTAATTATTTAATCTCCTCTCTTTTTTTATTGGTCAGTATAGCTAAAGGTTTGTTCATCTTTTCAAAGAACCAACTTTTGGTTTCTTTGGCTCTCTCTATTGTTTTTATATTCTTTATTTCATTTATTTTTGCTCTAATCTTTATTAGCTCCTTCCTTTTGCTAGCTTTGGTTTACTCTTCTTTTTCTAATTCTAAGGTATAAAGTTAGGTTATTGATTTGAGGCCTTTCTTTTTTAATGTTTACTGTTATAAATTTCCCTCTGAACACTGCTTTCACTACATCCTATAGGTTTTGGTATTGTGTTTTAATTTTCATTCATCTCAAAGTATTTTCTAATTTCATTGCAATTTCTTATTTGATTAATTGTTTAAGAGTGTGTTGCTTAACTTCCTAAAATTTGTGATTACACGCCACTTTAAAAACATCCTTCAATGTTAAATTTGGAAGTCTATAATATGAGGAATCCATATGCTATCCTAATTCGAGATCTTACTTGAATCCTTACTAAATCTTAATTTTTTGTATTTGAGTTATCACGCCATTTAGCAAAATTGTTTTTGGATTCTGATTTTTATCATCTAATAACTTGGCTTATCTGATGTTCTTTATCATATGAATGATAAAAATATAAAACGTAGTTGGCTAAGGATACACCTGTCTTCATAATTAGGTTAACAGTAGCAGTTCACTGCATGCATTTTTCTACCTTAAGAAAAAATAAAGGGTTAGGATTGAAGAGTCCAGCCTGCTTTCTTCGAATTATAAACCCATAATACAATTTAATTTAATATACAATAATCTTGCTGTGATGGTTAATTTTATGTGTCAACTTGGCTGGGCCACAGTGCCAAGATATCTGGTCAAACATTATTTTATGTGTCTATGAAGGTGATTTTTACATAAGATTAAGATTTAAATTGGTGGACTCTGAGTTAAGCATATTACCCTCTATAATGTGCGTGGACCTCATCCAATCAGATAAAGGCCTTGCAGGAAAAGATTGACCTCCCTCTAGCAAGAAGGAATTCTGACAGCAGACTGCTTTTGGACTCAAACTATAACTCTTCCCTGAGTCTCCACCTGCTGGCCCACTCCATCAGATTTTGGATTTGCCATGCCTCCATAATCACGTGAGCCCATTCCTTAAAATAAATCCTTTATATACACATATATCCTGTTGTTTCTGTTTCTCTGGAGAAGTGACTAATGCACTCGCTATGTACATTTTATTTTCTGAAACCAAAATATTTCCCTTTAGCCCTGTGATTTGTACTTTGTTTGCAGAGTAAGCAAGATTTTGCTATATATCCAGAATTTAATTGCTACTATTGAGTTCCATCAGTCATTCATTTATTCATTCACTTGAAAAACATTTATTGAACATCTACAGTGTACCAGGCAATGAGCATAGGCAATAAATAAGAAAATATATAGCATATCATATGGTGATAAGTGTTATGGAGAACATAAAAGGCAGGATGAAGGAGGTATTTATCATGAAATATATAGGGTAGTATGTTAGGTACCTTCCATCTGCTTCTCCAGATCTGTTCCCCACCTTTCTTTACTCTATTATCTACCCTAGAAGGTTGACATGTTTGGATTACACAACAGACTTTTCTCCCCTCTAGCTTCCAGTTGGGTTTGGCCAGTGCGACCATTGGCAAGAAATCACAAAGACAGAGAAGAGTAGATTTTGGATATTTATTCTACTGGACCTTTCTCTTCTGTATTGCAATGGTTTGGTTATGTCTTTCTACTGAAGGTTTGGCTAGTTGGATGGCCATATCCCTATGCCTTTTCTCTCTTAGGTTTCCAACAGCTGCCCTTGGCTAATGGTTTTAAATCTTGGACTATTTTGCCCCAGAGCACATGTGGCAACGTGTTGAGACAATTTTGGTTTTATTGGCTGGGGAGAATATTCTGACATCTAGTGGGTAAACAATAGGGATGTTACTAAATATCCTAAAATGATCAGGACAGTCCCCCCCGCCCCCAAAGAATTATTTTACCCAAATATCAATAGTGCGGAGGTTGAGAAGCTCTGCCTTACACCCTCTAGCCTGAGGGTTGGTAAGTGATGGCTCCCAACTGTTACTGGTTCGGAGTTACTACTGCACTATCCCTTGTTGCTTTCCCCAAATAAAACCAACACCTATGTAAATAGTCCTTTTATCAGACTCTCCTCAAATTACAAACTACAAGTTTCCTTCTGATACAAGTTGTCAGCTAGGATCCAGTAAATAAAACAGAACTAGGTCTCAGTATTTAAAAGAGAGAAGTTTAATGGAAAGAATTGGTTATATGGGTATTCGAAGACCTGAGTCCAAATAAATAACAATAAAGAACCCAGAAATCAGCAATAGCTGGAACCCACTACCAGGATAAGACAAAGGAAATATATCATATCATCAAATCTCAGAGGCTGGAGTTACTTGGAAGAAGCTAGAAGCTAGTTCAAAGGGAACTAGAACTGTAGGAGAGATTTTCTGCTACCTGGAGATCTAGCCTGAGAAAGGGGAAAATAGCCCTCCTGCCTTTTCCCTCCTTCCACTCTCCAGTCTCATGTTGTCATTCCTATTGATTGAACTCAACTGAAAGTGAGCTGACATAGAAGTCTGAGAAAAGCAGCCTGCAGGAGAAAACAGGTAAGGTAGTAATCTGAGAACACACAGGCTCATATCCAACCAAGAAGGCTCTTTTAAATACGGTAACATTTCAGTAGAGACTTGAAAAAAGTGAATAAGCAAAGCAGTTAATTAGAATAGGAATGTTCCAGGTTGCCGGAAAGAGAGCAAAGGCCCTAGGAAGTGGCATGCTTGGTGTGTTATGGGTGCATGGACCAATGATCCTACAACAGAGAGAATGAATAGGAGAGTGGTAGCGGATGAGATCAGAAGGGAAGACTGGCAGTAGGGCATATGAGGCTTTATATGCCATACTATGGGCTTTGGAAGTGCTCTGAGATGAAGTCATTGGCAAGTTTTAAGCAGCAGAGGGACATGATCTCACTATGGTTTTAAAAGCTCCTTGTGGCTGCTATGAGGGAAATAGACTTTAATAGGGCGAGAGACAAAGAGAGAGAACAGTTTGGAAATTATCTTAATAATCAAGGCAACGTAGCTTGGGCGAGGGCCCAAGAGGTAGGTGAGGAGAGGCAGGATTTTTGACGTACATTGAAGATAGAGCCAACATATCTTGTTGTTGGGTTATGAGTAGGTAGGAAAGAAAGAGAGGAGCCAAAAAACGGCTTCAACTTGAGAAGTGAAAAGTTTAGAGAGAAACTGGGGGCTCGCTTGTGGACACATTAAGTCTGAAATGGATAGTAAGATATCCATGCAGAGCTGTGGTGGAGGGTCATTAGATATATGATTTGGGAAATATCTGGGCTGGAGATATAAATATGGGATTCATTGGCATATAAATAGTATTTGTCTTAGTTTGGGTTCCCTTAGGAGCAGACCCTGACCAAGAATTTGAGTGCAAGTAGTTGATTGGGAGGAAGGTCCAAGAATTACTAGTAGCGAAGCGAGACAGGAAAAGGAAGTCACTAAAAGTATATTATGAAGTAAGTTATCCCTGTTGGCAACTGACATGTAGTCCTACTGTGGAATTTTGGGAGAGAGTATAGAATAGGCCTCAAGGGTCTTCCAAATGAGGGACCAGAAAGCTAGGTTAATTATCTATCTAACTGCCATCCATCTTTGATTGAAGGCTACTCTGGGAGCATTAACTCTCCAGCATTATCAGTTTTTCCAAAAGAGAGTCCAGTGCTCCTTGGGCCAGTAAAAGACCCCGGGGCAGAGAGTCATAATCAAGGGCAGTGAGCAGTCTCTGTGTGTAGAGGTGAGTCATGAAGGGATTTGGTGGGGCACCCACAAGATGAGATGATCCAGCATCAGCCGAAGAGTGAGTGAGGTTAGAAAGAGAAGGTGTCCCTATCATATTCCAACATTTAGAGGTCAAGGAAATGAGAAGGAACAACAAAGGAGACTCAGGAGAGGCCAATGAAACAGAGAGTTAAGAAAGTGCTCCTAGCAGGAGGAAGAGATTAACTGTGTCAAATGCTGCAGAAAGAGTAAGGTGAGGATCAAGAATTGATCATGGGATTTCTTAGCAAATTGGTGACCTTGACAGGATCGATTTTGGTTCAGGATAGGAAATGAGTTCAAAAGAGTAGAGAAACCAGAGATAGTTTGTATAGACAACTTTTTCAGTTATGTTGCAGAGATATTGAAAGGCAGCTAGAGGGAGATGTAAGGGTCAAAAGAGAGATGTGTGTGTACATGATTAAGATGGGAAATGTTGCAATATGTTTGTATGTCGATGGGACTGACTCAGTCAAGAGGGAAAAACTGATGATACAGATAAAAGAGGGACAATTACAGAAGTGATATCCTTAGTAAATGATTGGGCATGGGATCTTGAGCACAACTGGAAGGGGCTCCCTCGGGGCACAGACATTCACCGAGAGCAACAGAGAGAAGGTGAAGAGGGTATATGGCCACAGATGTAGATAGGCGGTGGGCTGTGTGGAAATTCTTTTCTAAATTGCACTATTTTTTGCAGAAGCAAGAAATTCGGCTGATATTTGAGGACCGGGAAGGAGGAGCTGTTGGAGGATTGAAGACAGAGAAGAAGGCGTGAAATAATCATTCAGGATTGGGCATAGATGAGAGAAGTGGAGAAAGAGAGTCGAGTAGCACCAAGGGCCCACTTCAGCTTAGAGATCATCCATTTAAAGCGAGAGCAGTCAGCATGGTCGAGTCCTTCTCCAGCCATGTGCAGCTGCTTGAGTACAGGCCTGGAGTAGGGGAGAGTAGATTTAACTAAGGTTGGGTATGTTTTATTTACAGTTCCCAACATGTCATTTTGCTTCGGGAACACTTCATATAGTAATTAAATAAGAAATAAAAATTTCTTGTGAAAGGCATCCTGAATTCCAAGAGTCTCGAGAATATGTTATAAGCACAAGAGATAAAAGTAAAGCAGACGTTGCTTTACTCAATCCATTTTGAAAGTGTTGCTCTGCAAAAACTTACTTGGGAGTTAGCAGGCATCAATAGGATAACCCCTTTACCCTCAATAAATGTTGTGAGCTGGTTTTCCTCTCGGAGCTTCTTGATGCTGGTGGACCCCGCAGCCACTGATTAGCTAAGGAATCTGAACCCAACATGCCATTTAACCGTTAGGATTATAAACAACCTGTTCTACTTGACAAGAGGCTGAGTCCGTTACAACCACAGGGACTGTAAAAAGCAATTGTCTTACACTAGACATTTTGCAGGTAGAGCTCACATCCTTTGATGAGCCTCTGGTCAAAGATTCTCGTAACGAAACTCTTGGAGACCTGAAGCTGGATAATTTGGACCTTTATTTTACCCTTGGTCGATGGGAGTTAAGAGTTAAGATACAGTGTCTTTCTGTCCCAGTTTCTGGACAAGGCCAAACAGCCCATTTACAAGTGCTCAGAAGACACCCACAGCACTAAGACACCAGATGTGGGCAATGAAAGGAGAGGGTGAATACGTTCCTCAAAACGATATGTCTAAATTCTAACTCCTGGAATCTGTGAATGTGACATTATTTGAAAACAGGAACTTTGAAGATGGAATTAAGTTAAGGATCTTTGGGGATGAGATTATTTTGGGTTTAGGGTGGACCCCAAATCGAATGACTGGTATCCTTAAGAAAGAGGGGACAGGGAGATTTGAAACACATCGGACACAGAGAAGAAAGCAGTGTGAGGCAGATATTGGAGTGCTTGGTGTACAAGAGTCAAAGATGGCTGGCAACCGCCGGTAGCTGGGAGAGAGGCAGAGGACAGATTCTCAGAGTGTCCAGAAGGAACCAATCCTGCCTACACCTCGATTTCAGACGTCTGGCCTACTGAATTGTGAGAGAATAACTTTTTGTTTGAAGCCACCTAGTTTGTGATAATTTGTTAGATAGCCCTAGGAAACTGATGCAGGGAATGAATTCATAGTTTAGTAAAGTGAAAAGTACACGGTCAGGAAAACGACGTGAAGAATTTTTGGGACAAGGGAAGGAGGCTGGGACCACTGGTAGCTCCTACAACCTCGGGTATTTCCCTTAAGCTCCCTCTAGGAGAATATGGGTCCTCCCCCAGAAACCATGTTTCCCGATAGTCTGGAAAACCTGCAGTTATTTTGAGTCCATTGTCCCATTTCTATGAAAGCATTTGCAAATATTTTGCTCACCAGGAAGTCCTAACCTTATGATTTAATCAGCTTGGTTTTGCGATCCTGAAATTTCTGCTTGCAGCAGGTCTGAGCTGAGAAGTCAGTACTTAAGGAGATCAGCCTTCCAGACACCTACCTCTCCCTGGATTCCTGATCATCTCACCTGGAATGAAAAGAAATAACAGCCAGCACTGCGCTTTGATGTTTCGGTGCATTAATTCATTCTGTTCTCTGCCTTAAGTGCTCTCACTCCACCGAGGGAGCCCTGCCTATTCTTCAAGATTTGCCCAAATACCTTTTGCTCTGTGGAAGCCTCCCGGAAACCACAGAATCAATGATGTTTTCTTCTACATCCCCACAGAGCTTGTGCACCTGTTAAACGACTTATAACATTTTATTATAGCTTATTTTTACTGTATCTATGTTACCCAAAACACTCCAGAGGAAGTGTTGTTCATGTCTGAATCATCAGTACTCAGTCTAGAAGCTAACTCAATAAATGCTTTTTATATAAATTAAGGAAAGCACTATCTTAGAAAATCTACCATAACAAAAGTTTCTCAAGAATACACAACTGCTAGTATTTAACTTCATCTATTTTGGATTTCAAGCCATTAAAATTTGGCAAAGAAACAAAGTAACATAAAATTAGTGTGTCCTGTGTGAGCAGAGTTCAGTGCAAAATTACGGTGTTAGATAATTGTTTGCTGCTTTGCATTAGGATCAGAAAACCGCTTTCCTGGAGATGAAAAGGGCAATGTCACCCCTAGGACTGCAAGGTTCTTCAACACATGGGAAGTAGGTTCCTCCTATTTTGATTAGAGCTGAGAAAAGGCTTCCCAGAATTAATCACTGAAGAAGCACACTGAGCCATATTTCCTCCATCTGGTGGTCATTGCAGAAAGCTGAAGTGTTTACAGCAGATGCTATTCAATGTGACGTGATTATTCCATGGTCTATCCAAATGCCTCCTTTTATTATGTTTTGTTTGGAGTTATACCTAGAGTTTTAGGTATCTGAAAAAATTCAGAATGAATCCTCAATTGTAGAAGAAAAAAAGACTCGATAGAAAAGATGAAAATGTCCAAGTGAACACAAGCTAAAGGCAAATATAAGAAGAGAGTTTGGGTAGGTAAGTACGTATGTTCCCATGGGAACATAGAGCTGCTGCCAACAAAAACCATGGGAAAAGCTACAGATTCTTTCTATGATTCAGGCTAAAATTGAATTTGTAAAGGAGTCAAAATACACATGAATCATCTTCTCTTTCATCCATCACGATCATTATTATTTCCAAGTCAAAAGCTGGCCAAGAGTCACAAAGAAAATGAGCCTGTTGTGACAACTAAAGATGTTCGCCCTAAATAATCTCCCCACTAAGAAATCCTAACAGCTTCTAACATCCACCACAGAACATCTAAATTCCTTCACTTATTAAGACCCTCATAATCTGGCACAACAATCTCTATTCCACCTAACCTGTGACCACGTCCTCATTTTGGTCAAGGTGGTCTTCTCACTACCTCCTACCCATTCATGTTCTTCATAATTCCAAAACTTTACTCACACTCTTTGTCTGTCCTCCTGTGCATTTTCTTTCTTCACTATCCATTTAAACTAATTTATTCTTAAAATCCAGTCCCAGGACCAGAATCCTATTACTAGAGCCTGGCTGAGATCTAGTCAAGAGGGACTGACCAATGATAGCTGTAGTGTTGCTGATAAGGCCATTGACAGAATCACAGTGAATACAGAATGAGTGGGAGGGAATAAATACCCTCAGGTCTCTCTCCTCCTATGTTCTGATCTCCTGCTGGTACATCACACTGGACAGAGGGCGACATAGTCAATAGATGTCAGCCTCCCAGGACAAAGAACATAGCACAGAAGAGTGAAAGGATCTGGGGAGAACCAATGAATAACCAGAATAGATGTTTATTAACATTTGCCCCAGTTTCTTCAGGAAAGAAAACATGGCGGGGGCGGGGGGAGCTGCCATGTTTACAAAGATATTGGTTACAGAAAGTGTACAAGGTCTTTCATTTTTAATTGATTAACAAAAAAGATGGAAAATTAGAGAATCTGTGACTTGGACCAGTAGGTATTTTTGCATTGCATATGCTGACCTCAAGGATTTCTCTAAAAGCGTCATGAGAAAAACCCGTGGAACTAGAAGGTTTGTTTACTCAGATAAACCGCAGAATATACTGAATTCAAATTGAACATAAAATTATAATAATGTTCAGTCTTTACCAAGTAACAATTACATTGTTTTATTTTATTTTAAAAAAGTGAAATTAACATTAAATTATCTGGAAGATAATATTTACAGGAAAGTTATGGAACTAAGCCTAGGATTTAAGAAGAAATATTTTACTGGACAGAGAAGGAAAATATATCTTGGTTCCTGAAGACCTCTAGCAACTTGAGGTAGGGAACTCTGACAAAATTGAACTCTGACATTGTTTCAATTTTGTAATACTCCTCTGATTCTTGACCTAGGAAAATATTATGTGGAGCTATTTAACCCATGATATGCCTATAAACCCAATTTACCGGAATATCTTAATTGCTGTTGTGTTAATGTTTTTAGAAGAGAGTGTGCAGGGCAAAGAATGCTGGACTCCTGCGTCCACACATACAAACGTGCCTATATACACACCAGCATTAGCCATTCAACAAAATTACTCTTGCTTTCCACTATTGTTTCCCACAAAGGGCCAAGGTAAACGAGTAAAACCAAAACATCAGTATGTTGAGGATATCTTTTATTATAACCAGAAGCATCTTAATATGCTGGGAAACAATATTATACATTATACCAATTTGCTTTGAAAAATCAAGTAGCTGGCTAACCGTCTGAACTCAAATATGTGAGAAATACTTCCTTGGTTTGGAGATTATTCCTTAAACTAGATCTTCTCTTGAGAAGAATTCTCTAACAATGTTTCAGGGATAATACCAGGTAAACTCAAAGGAAGCAAATTCTAGGTCTTTAAGAATGCTATGTGTGAAGTGAAGCATTTAGAGTATGGGAAGATTTAGTAACAATATATTCATCCTATTTTATTGGCAAGTTTGCTTGACATTAAACTAGCCTAGATTGGGTTTCTCCAGAACAGAGCCCGAGACTAGGATTGAGGCTAGGAATTTATTTGGAATGCGCTATCAGAAAGTATTGCTAGGTGTTAGGGCAGTGGCCCAGGGAAGGGAAAGAAGCCAGCAGAGGATGCAGTCATGAGTATGCTATTGTTGGGGGGAACTGGGGCTCATGTCTACCATGCGACTCTGGGAGATGGTGCGAAGCATACCCAAGAGTTGTCCCACCCAAAGGATGAGAAAGATGGAGAATTTAGTCACTAACTCCCATCTGTCATTAGTTTGAGGGCTGTTCCTAGGGATGGTAACTCCCTGGCACTTCCAGTCTGCCTAGCACCCAGCATCTCCTGTGGTGAAAGGCAAAAGGATGCAGGCATTGGCAACAGAAAGCTGTCCACATGTAGAGGAAAGTTGAGTGCCAAGGGGATGGGAACAGTGCACCAAAAGCAAGGCATAACTGATTATAAACATTCTATTAAAGCGTCCTCTTAAAGGGAGGAAACCAAGAGGCCAGCAAAATATGGAAAAGCATAAACTGCAATCCTTCTGATAGCAGTCCTATTTCTTCCCACACAGGATCCTTGTACGCTTCTTAACCCCCAGACAGTCACCAAAGGACAGGCTCAGGGAGACCTGAGAACAATTTCTCCTTATCTTTTCAGAAGACGTTGGGATGGGTCAGGAGAGGAGTTTACAAAGCACAGCCAGCAAGAGAATGCAATGTGTTTCTAATCAATGGGAACTCAGTGTCTATTTTCTGAGGAAATAATTTCTTTTTCATGCTGTAAATGTTCATCATTTTGTTTCTCTGCAGGCTTGAAAGCCACAGTATCATCCCTTCAAAGGGAAATACTGAAGCCGAGGTGCTTACTGTGCTTGAATAAAACTTCCGCATTTTATGGTATGGCCCTATCTCTGCTTAAGTCCCAGCCTTACAAGCTTTTTGTACATCTTAACATCAAACTGGACGAGTAGCTAAGACCTGAGTTGTTTGTATTTCCTAAGTTGGGAAATGGAGGTGGGTAGGAAAGGAGAGTTTCTCATGCCCTAAGATTCCAGGGTGCTATGAAAAGACGATGGTTGATGTTGATTCTAGAAAACTGGTTCTCATGTAGCTTTTAATTTGATTTCCTTATCCCCTAACTTTACTGAAGGAAGGATTCCTTTCTATAAAGTGAGAAGGACAAGATTAGAAGTAGTTAACTAGGTGAAGGTGGTAGTAAGTGTTCCGGGCAAGGGAACCTCATTCGAAAAAGACATTAGGCCAAAGTAGTAAGTTCAAGAAAACATGCTCAACATCATTAGTCATTAGAGAAATGCAAATTAATACTAAATTAAGATACCACTTTACACCCACTAGAATGGCAACAATTTAAGACTGACAGTACCAAGTATTGATGAGAATGGAGAACAATTAGAACTCATATATAGTGCTGGAGAGGTAAATGATATAATCATTGGCAGAGCTGTAGTTTCTAATAAAGCTAAGCATATACTTTCCTTATGATTCATCAATTGCAATCCTAGGTTATTAGCCAAGATATGAGAAAATATATGTTCACAAAAGGTCTTGTATAAGAATGTTCATAGCGGCTTTATTCATAATAGCCCCAAACTAAAAACGACCCAAATGTCCATCAACAAGAAGATGGGGAAACAAGTTTTGGTTTATTACCACTCAGCAATACAAAGGATGAATTAATGTACTGATACATGCAACAACATGACTGAATATCACAAACATAACGTTGGGAAAAGAAGTAGACATAATAAAAGGGTATATAAAAATCAAATGTTTCCACTTATATGAAGTTCTAGAATAGGCAAAACTAATCTTAAGTGAAAAAAATCAGTGGTTGCTTTTGGGGGGTTGAGGGGTCACCTGGGAAAAGAAGAGAACCCCTTCTCATAAAATGGAAATCTGGTGAGGTGTATCTAGTTGTCAAAATTGTTCAATTATGACTTGTACATTTCAATGTATTTAAATTTTACCTTAAAAACGGTAAAAATAATGATATTCAAATGGAGGGGCTGGGAAGTGGGTGGTATAGTTGAAACAAGAGT